AGCAGGAATAGAGCTCCCCGAGTTGAGAATTCAGATAAGAGGCACCCCCCTGGAGGAAGCACTTTAGACTGGTGAGGGCTGCCCGCCTGGCGTGGGGAGGGACGACACTGTTAAGAGCACACGTGGCCGGAGCCGTCCCGGCATGTCCCCGACCAGGCCAGCTGCACAGCCCCAGAGAACAAACCCCAAGAGCCAGTTTACCCAGAATGCCAATCTCCAGGCCCTGCAGGGCGGCGTCGATGGAGGCATAGATCTGAAGCACTTTAGACTGGTGAGGGCTGCCCGCCTGGCGTGGGGAGGGACGACACTGTTAAGAGCACACGTGGCCGGAGCCGTCCCGGCATGTCCCCGACCAGGCCAGCTGCACAGCCCCAGAGAACAAACCCCAAGAGCCAGTTTACCCAGAATGCCAATCTCCAGGCCCTGCAGGGCGGCGTCGATGGAGGCATAGATCTCTGAGCCCTGGGTGAAATCCGCCTCCACAACCCGGGTGCTTCGGCCATGCTGCTCTTCTGAAAGGCAAAGGCAGAGCAAGGCTAGACCACTGGGCAGGGGCAGGCTCTGAGCTCCAAGTGACAGAGCCCTGGGGCAGAGGAAAGGGGGCAGTGGATCCCCGGGAGAGGGAAAGGCAGGGAGGCTGGGGTAGGGGGGTAAGTCCTGAGTTAGTGGTGACAGAAGTCGTGGGGTGGCCGCTGGCAGGAGGTGGGTTCCCGGCACAAGCCAGACTCCTTCTCCGTAGACTGTCACTCACCCTAAGATCTACCACCATGGGCAGTGGGTGAAGCTGCCCAGGCTCCGCCCCCTGATCAGGCCCCGCCCCCTGCCCTGGCCCTGCCCCCTGTCTCCCTCCTCTCTTCCTTCCCCTTCCCTGCACATCCCGTGTGCCTGCTCACTGCCTGCTTGTCCCCTTCCAGCCAAATCCCTGAACCCAAGCAAATTATATTTGAAAAAAGCCCTCCATTTTCCTGCAGCTTCTCTCTCAACATACTGGAGCAGGTTTTGGATCATGTGCCAGACATGCAGAAGGTTCCTAATTAAATGCACTAAGCTTGGGAAGAAGAAATGTCAGTCGCAGGTTTATTAGATACCCGGATCGCTGACAGGCAGGCAGCTTGCAAATGCCCCCAACCCCTCTCATTGATCCTGGGGAACACAGAATGGCTAGCACCAGTGAGAGCGAATTGAGAAATCTCTGTCCTTTCTTCCCACAATCAAACCAGGTGTCAGGCCTCCCCCTCAGCTGGCATTTGCTCCAAGGAAATAACTGGAATCAGACTGCAAAAGCTGCCACCTCCTTTTCACTTCTTCACACAAACAAGCTGAGGGCTTCCTATGTTGATGGTTTCAATAGCAGAGAGCTCCTCAGAGAAGGGATAAGAATTACCAAGGGACCTGGATCCTGTCAGTCCAAAAGAGGCTGGCTGCTGGGAGTGATTCCAATGCTGATGAGCAGAGCGCCCACAGCTCGGCTGGTGTTTCTCCTGGTGGTGCACATTCGCACATGCCGCAGTGCACATAAATTTATTCCGCAGCCCGTCTTACTCACCAATCTCAGCGGCCACTTGCTTCAGTTTTGGCATGGAACGGCTGATCAGCACCACATTGAGGCCTCTCTTGGCGAGCTGGAAAACAATTAAGGTGGGAACTCAGAGCAGGAGAACCCGGAGAGCCCCACATCCGCTCCGCGTGCCCCACAGCATATCCGAGGCAATGCTGGTTATTACCTCATGGGCATAGGCTTTCCCAATCCCTGATGTTGCTCCGGTCACCACTGCAAGAGGAGAAAGACATGAGGGGTAAATGCTTCCATAGGCCAAAGTCGCTAGGAACGGCTCCTTTGGGGAATTTGAATGCCTTGCACAACTTCCCCTGCCTTGCACACACACCCCTCCATGCAGCACAGAAGACGACACCGTATACAGCAGGCATGTCAAACTTGAAGCCTACCGAGGGCCACACAAACGAAAACTGATCGCTTTCAGGACCACCAATGTACTTCTATCGGAAAGTCGTAATTATTTATTATTATAGATTATGTTTTAGGTAGATAAGAACATAAGAACGGCCGTACTGGGTCAGACCAAAGGTCCATCTAGCCCAGTAGCCTGTCTGCCGACAGTGGCCAGCACCAGGTGCCCCAGAGGGGGTGGACCGAAGACAATGATCAAGCGATTTGTCTCCTGCCATCCCTCTCCAGCCTCTGACAAACAGAGGCCAGGGACACCAATTCTATCCCCTGGCTAATAGCCTTTTATGGACCTAACCTCCATGAAATTATCTAGCTTCTCTTTAAACTCTGTTATATTCCTAGCCTCCTCTGGCAAGGAGTTCCACAGATTGACTATGCGCTGTGTGAAGAAGAACTTTTGCTTACTAGTTTTCTTGTATAATAGTTTTTCAGGTCTTGTTTGAATATAATACAATAATTTGATGTGTAAAATTATTTGCTCATATATACTTTTTAAAATAATTTGTAAATATAAATGTAAGGTACTTTTTAATTATTTTGTATATGATACATATCTTGTTTTGTTGGAATAAAAACAAGTTTAGACCAAAACAATAAGGGAGAGACTCATATTTCAGAATAATTGCTTCAGCCTGGCAAACAATAACCTTTGAATTTTCTTTAAAGAAACACAGTGTAAACCAGGTACACACTGATTGCTTTTTGCCCTGGAATTTAAATATAATATCTGTGTTGGTTGCCTTATTCTGCATCTACACTCCCTCCCTCACTTGCTCTAAGCGTCTATTTGTCCCCAGAAGGATTACCAAAACGAATCGAGGGGTTTGCAAAGCTGGCCTTTCTACTATCCCTAGGATTTCTTAAACTTTGCACTGTCAAAGGTACATGTACTATTCTTACACCAATAATCCATGCAAGACTCACTTTGGCTGACTGATATTCAAGTGCATATTTATTAGCAATATTGGTATGCCCTGGTTACCTTTGACTGGCTGGTATTTCTTAGATCTAAAACTAGATAATTTCCTTTTCCTTTTTTATTTTTAAAGCAGATGTTATTTGAGCCAAATGGATACCCTTCAGAAATTGGAAACCCATCCCAAGTGTATAGAGCAGAAACTGAAATAAGGATAGGTTAAATGTAAGATAGATATCAGGTGTGCCAAGTGTGAATTGATGAGCCAACAGCCAAAACATGACAACAAAAACTGATAAAAGGAAACTTTTTTTACTCAAATCATCTGTGGAACTCACCGCCACTAGACAGCAGTGAGGTCAAAAGTTTGTAAGATTTGTAAAAGGATGAAGGCTTATTGATAATGAAACCATCTAAAATAACCATACGTATGATGAAAACCAGATTAAACCCCCACTCATGTTTCAGGTCATAAGCCAGCTACAAACTGTTGGGAGTGAAGAAGAAACATTCCCTGTCCAGGGATAACTGTCCACTGTCGTTTCTTGCGGGAGCACACACACACCCATCCTGAGACACATCTTGTATTGGCCACTTTTGTAGCTACAATACTGGACTAGACTAGAGAGTCCCATTGGCTGATCTGCCAATGCCTACGTTCCAAGGGAATCTTAGGACAAATATTAACACCGTACAGTTAGGTATTTAAAACTCAGGATATACGAAAATTAAACTGGGAACCACAAATCAGCCCCTTTATGTGTGTATATTACAGTCGTCTTGATTCCATTCCACTCCAGTCGGTGGAAAAAACCTGTATGCCATTGTATTCTTTGAGAAACAGTATGGGACATCATGCAACTAACACTGAATTGTATGCTTGTACAAGGGGAAGAGCTTAAAGGGCTGTGGTCCAATACCTCCTCCCTGCCCCAGAGCCAGGCTCTCCCAGCCCCCAAGCCTAATGCCTCCTCCCTCCCCCAGAGCCAGGCTCTCCCAGCCCCCCAAACCTAATGCCTCCCTCTCCCCCAGAGCCAAGCAATCTCAGCCCCCCCAAACCTAATGCCTCCTCCCTCCCCCAGAGCCAGGAACTCCCAGCCCCCCCAAACCTAATGCCTGGGTTCCAGAATCGCCATCGTCACGGCACTTCCTCACGGGCTGGGGTGGCGTGAGTACAGCAGCAGCTGTGAGCAGGCGCTTGATGCCTGTGCTAAGAATGGAAGGGAGGTCTATTCAGGCTGCTTACAATGTTGCATTTCCTGTTTCAGGCCATGTCACTCCAATGCCTGAGAAACACTTGGGAGAAAAATTCTTTTTGGTAAGAACCCAAGGAAGGGATTCCCTTCCAAAGAAGTGAGAGCAGTAGCAGAAAGGAGAGTGTGTGGGTGGAGTAGGCGGGGGCAGGACCACAGGTAACACACACACCTTCTGGAGAAGGGATACCTGTGTTATGCTTATAAGAAGCACACAGGAGTTTTATGGTGAGGGGGAAGCAATATGCTGTGTTTACTGAGAATACAATGGCAAAACAATTAGCATATGCTTACCTAGAAAGACAGACACACACGCACCGTCCCACCAGTTGATGTTATATTTACGTTTATGGTTTGCGGCCAACCAGATTGATTACAGGTGAAGGAACGGGGGTTTGTTGGTTTGGACCGATGCTTTAGTGATGGCAGGACGTTTTTGCTTTTAAGGCAAAACGGTTTTCTATAATAGTTTTTTTTAATTAGGATGAGTGAGTTTTGCATTGTTATGCAGGGTTTTTTTGGATGGATGTTTGTTATTTTTGTTTTTGTTTTGTTAAGCTGGTTTTGATTATGAATACTTTGTTTTAGCTAATAGGTGCTTTTTAAAAAGCTGTTAATGTGCTTACTGCTAATGTTTTGATGGGGCTATATACCACTTTTTTGGGGCACTTTTATGTTTGTTTTGGGCTTTTTTAAAAAGAACATTCTACCTAGATATTTATTATTTAATGTATATTTTTTAATCTAAAACTGGATTGATTTTTGTTGCAGAGACGCAACCTTTGTTACAGAGAAACAATCTGCACATTTAAACAAGGGCATTACATCACAATTTGAAGAGGGATGTTTACTGTAAGCTTAAAACAGAACAGTGACCATAAGGGTCTATTTTTACATTAGAATCAGCTGTAGACACAAAATTTTGGCCAGTGTGCACCTATTCCAATGGCAAAGGAAAGGTGTTTTTTGCATTTTAGCTACCTCGCTACACCTAATAAGAACATAAGAACGGACGTACTGGGTCAGACCAAAGGTCCATCTAACCCAGTAGCCTGTCTGCCGACAGTGGCCAGCGCCCGGGGCCCCGAAGACAATGATCAAGCGATTTGTCTCCTGCCATCCATCTCCAGCCTCTGGCAAACAGAAGCCAAGGACACCATTTTATCCCCTGCATAATAGCCTTTTATGGACCGAACCTCCATTAATTTATCTAGCTTCTCTTTAAACTCTGTTATAGTCCTAGCCTTCACAGCCTCCTCTGGCAAGGAGTTCCACAGGTTTTGGGGGCACATTTATGTTTGTTTTTGGCTTTTTTAAAGAACATTTGACCTGGCTATTTATTATTGAATGTATATATTTTTAATTTATCTAAAACCGGATTGATTTTTGTTGCAGAGACGCAACCTTTGTTACAGAGAAGCGATATGCACATTTACACAATATGCACCTGATTGTGGAGTCTAAGGCAGGGCCAAGTTCTACAACAAGTCTGTAGTGTCACTAGCATGAAACCTTCAAAAATCAGGAGTAAGCTCTCCTCCCCACCCCAAAAAAAAAATCACAATTTTTTTATGCTTGTGATTTGTCAGCCGCAATGACTTTAAAGGGTCCCTCTCACTTTGACTTCTGGTTTCTGAGCGTTAGACTGTTTTTTGTTTTTCCTTTCTCTGTAACTGAAAGGGCTAGAGACCGCATTGTCATTTGAGGAGTGGGGGTAGTTTCTGGTTCTCCCAGGATTCCAGGAGCAGGGACTTCGAGGAAAAATAAAAAGAGCCCACGTGACGAGCTTTGGCAGCGCTAGAAAATTTTGCCTCGACAACGTGGGAATTTAAAGCAACCCCAGGAAATGCTTCAGGTGCAGCTGCTGTTACACCAGCCTCAACGCGCTTTCCTGCGACAGCTTATTTTGCCGAGGAAGCACATTGTTGGCGCCAAGATAGCTGGTGGAAAAACCTGCCGCCCTTTGCTCCCAGGCTGGTACCGTGGTAAAAGTCCCAGGGGTCATTTGATAGCCCCCGGAAGGAGAAAGGTCTGCGTGAACAGGAAACTCTAGGAGGCTAGCTGCGGATCTCAGCAAGACAGAGAATGTCACCTAGGTATGTCTACACTACAGCGTTATTTCAAAATAGCTTATAGATAGCTGGTGGAAAAACCTGCCGCCCTTTGCTCCCAGGCTGGTACCGTGGTAAAAGTCCCAGGGGTCATTTGATAGCCCCCGGAAGGAGAAAGGTCTGCGTGAACAGGAAACTCTAGGAGGCTAGCTGCGGATCTCAGCAAGACAGAGAATGTCACCTAGGTATGTCTACACTACAGCGTTATTTCAAAATAGCTTATTTCAAAATAACGCGTCGAGTCACAAAATGCATTTCGAAATAGCTTTTTGCTATTTCGAAATACCGCGTCCACACTGATTGGATGCTGAATCGCATTTAACTGGTTCCGGCAGGGCATCAGGTCAGAAGTTACCTTGTGGCCAGGGCGGCCAGCAGGGTGCTCTGGGAAGGGCTGGAGACCCCCTATTTCGAAATAAGCGTCTACACAGCACTTATTTCGAAATAGCAATTTCGAAATTGGCATTATTCCTCGTGGAATGAGGTTTACCAATTTTGGATTTCGATTTAATTTCACAATAGCAATTGGCTTGTGTAGACGCTAGGAAAGTTATTTCGAAATAACGGCTGCTCTTTTGAAAGAACTTTGCTGTGTAGACGTACCCCTAGGGATTTTCAGTCCCAGACCCCGGACTTTGGCCTTCTCAATTCCCAGCCCCCCGGGGACCCTTCCAGCTGCAAGGGCTGGGGGTCCAGTGGTCTCGGCCGTCTCTTCGCCCTGCTCAAATTCCAGCTGTTCAGTGTGCCTGTGGGCAGCAGAGCCGGCATGCATCTTGGAGGTCAAGAGGAGCTGATGGGGCGCAGGTCAGCAGGGATGAAAGCAGACAACAGAACTTAAAAAGGGGGGGCGGAGCTAGGACCCTAAAAGGGGCGGGGCCCCAGGTGGATGAGGCGGGGTTTGGGTGAACCTCTAGCCAGGCTTTGTGGCCAGCAGCCGGGAGCCCTAGGGCTCTGGTGTTGCCATGGCAACTTGGAGACCTGGGCCCTTTTAACGAGCAGGCCTCAGGGCAGCTGCTCCTTCTGCCCCCACCCTGTCAGCAGCCCTGGCTGGGGGCAAAAGGGGCTGCCGACAGGGGGAGGAAGAAGCCGGCCGCATGTGGGCCAGGCCGGCAACTGGTTCTTGCTGGCACGCCACACCGTCCGACACCCACTCATTTTCACCTCTGCCAGGAGCCTGTCTCTGCGCCTGGCGGACTGCCAGCCAGCAGCATCTCCTCCCGCCCCACAGAGGGAAACTCAGGGCGACCCACAAAACTGCTGCTCTCCCCTCGCCCTTAAGAACGGCCACGCTGGGTCAGAGCAAAGGCCCCCCTAGCCCAGTGTCCTGTCGGCCCACAGTGGCCAATGCCAGGGGCCCCAGAGGGAGGGAACCGAGCCGGGAATCATCAAGCGATCCCTCTCTGTCGCCTGTTCGCGGCCTCAGACAAACAGAGACTAGGGACACCCTCCGGGCTCAGCCTGGTTGGATGGATCAATCTTCCATGACTGTATCTAGCTCTTTTTCGAACCCTGTTAAAGTCCTGGTCTTCACAACCTCCTGTAGCAAGGAGTTCCACAGGTTGGCTGTGCGCTTGGAAGGGGCGGGGGGAGTGTTAAATCCGCAACTTCTTCATTCCATCCAGTGACCTCTAACGCTGGTGTTACGGGAGCAAGGAGAGGTGACGGTTTTGTGGTGGCAAGTGGCCAGGGTAAACAGCACACGGTGAACGCTCTCCTGTAGGTTCACAGGCTGAACCCTGCTTGGCTTGGGGGTGGGGGGGGGATAAGTTTGGTTAGCAGACAAGCAGGCTTACTGTCCCCCGCGAGC